TCCTCCTGTTTTCAGCCTCCCAAGCTCTGGAATTATAGGTGTGCCACCATGCCCAGTCTCAATCACCCGTCTCAGCACGTCCTGGGGCCGCCTTACCCCCAATGCATGCCAGGGATTGAACCCCGGTTCCTGCATCTGCCTAAGCAGGCACTTTAATCAGTAGCCTGGAGAATTTCAAGTGACCTGAATTCAAAATAAAATTTAAGCCCAGTATAGCAGCACATGCCTGTAATTCCAGGACACTAGAGGCTGAGGTAGGAGGATAGCCGCATATTCAGGGGCCAGCCTGGACTACATAGTGAGTTCAAGGCCAGCCTAAACTATAAAAATAGGGCCGGCCAAACACTTCAGAGGATTAAAATGTCTGCAAGCAGGCGCAGGAGGGCACACTGCGAAGGCAATTGAAACTAGGCGTGGTGGCACGTGCCTGTAATCCCAGCGTTTGGGAAGCTGTAAACAGGAGGATCACTACAAGTCCGATCTAGTAGTGAGACTCTGAACACCCTGTAGACCCTTCCTTAAAATACAAAAATAATGGGCTACTGGACTCTTTTAGAATATTTTGCTGAGTTTACACACCTGTAATATTCAATAACGGAACTTAGAAAAAATGGGGTATACCGATGAATGTCCATTTTGTATCTGTGTATTCAAAGTGGTTAGGATAGATATATAGTTGCATTCTCTTAATGAATAGAATGATTTGTTCTAATGGTGATTGTAAATAGGATCACAAGTCCGCATCTTGTACAGCAATTAACCACTAAGAAGAATATATGCAGTGTATTATTTGTTGAAACTGTACTTCCGATTTGATTTGAAACTGTCTCATTGCTATCTGTTTATCAATAAAATTTTGAAAAAAAAAAACACAAAAATACATGAATAAACTATACAAAGAGACTCTTTCATAAAACAAATCAGAAGCCTGGGGAGATAGCTCAGTAGTCTAAGAGCCTGACTGGCAAGTGCAAGGACCCTAGTTCAATCCCTGGTACTACATGCCACGCGGGCCCCTAAAACCAAGCATGGTGGTGCATGCCTGTAATCTCAGCGCTTGGGGAACCTGAGATAGCAGGATCACTACAAGTCCGAGCTGCATAGGGAGACCCTGTACCAAATAAATACATGATTAAAAAAATAAAATAAGACACACAAGACCTGATCAAAGTGCAGGTGACCAGTGTCCCTCATAGAGACAGACATTCCCAGGACACAGAGCTGGGAGAGGAGGGCGAGGCACAGGTCTGCTGTGGTCACACTGAATGTATGTCTCCAGGGTACCCACAGCCTCCAGAAATGTAACCAGCGTAGACCAGTGCCTCTCAGCAGGGCTAGTTTAGCCCCCCATCTCCCCACCCCAACCCTGCTTGGCCCTCTTGGGATGTTGCTGGTGGTGCCAGAGCTAGAGCAAACACTGCTGGCATCCCCTAGACAAAAGCCAGGCACACTGGTCAACACCATATAATCACAGAACTGTCCCCCTCGCCAGCAGGTCTTCAGCTCAAAGTTTCCTCGGCACCAAGGTCAGGAAATCCCACCAGAGGCTGGGTGTGGCGGAGCTCACCTATCATCCCAGAACTCACTCCAGAGGCTGAGGCAGGAGGATCAGTGGGAGCTCAAAGCCAGCACAGCAGCAGAGTGAGTTCAAGGAGAGGCTTCAGGACTCAGTGAGAAAACTGTATTTGTTTTGCAAATCGGAAGGGGATCAAAGGATGAGGCAGCGGGGGAGGGGAGGGAAAGAGCAGAAAAAGATGTGTTATGTCCATGTCCCAGCTCCCCACGAGGCCTGCGATTCCTGCACACATGTGCGTTAATAAAAATTGTTAAAGGAAAATAACTTATGAAATACCACAAGCCAATAAATGACTCATTCAACACAAAGACGTAGTACTTTTTGCCAAGTGTGGTGGCGCATGCCTGTCGTCCTAGCACTCTGGGAGGTTGAGGCAGGAAGATAGCAAATGCTAGCCCAACCTGGGTAGATCAGTTACTCAGCAAGATCCTATCTCAAAATATAAATGTAAAGAGGGGTGAGGGTGTGGCTCAGCGCACAGGCCCCCTGTACCAGAAAACAAAAACAAAACAAACCCACTAGATTTCTTAAGAGATGGTCAAGTTCAAGTTCAGCCTTTCAGGTTACTGTCCCCCAAAGAATAAACCAGGATTCAAGATACCTCCCCCACCTTGTCTGAATCCTCCCACCCCTGGGAATATTTAAGGAACTAGACAGGAAATAAAGTGTCAGTTCTTTTGTATACCATTGGGTGAAACTCAGTCACGTGACTACAGCTTCCTGCAGTGCATGCTGGGAATTGTATTCCAACCATGTGTTTCCTGGGCCAGTTTAAAAAAAAAATAGGTGGTCTATACTCATGTTATTATTATTATTTTTTGGGGGGGGAGGGGCAGAACCGGGGATTGAACTCAGATCCTTGAGTTTGCCAGTCAAGCGCTTATCCTACTGAGCCATCTCCCCAGCCCCACTCATGTTATTTTTTGTTTCCTTTTTTTCTATTTTTTTGAGACAGGGTCTCCCTATGAAGCCCAGGCTGGCCTTGACTTTGGGTTGATTCTCCAGCCTCAGGCTCCTGAGTGCTAGGATTGCAGGTGTGTGTCACCATGATAAGTCTAGGTGCATACTATTATCTGTTACTTTTATTATTGTTCAGTTGTAATAGCTTTATGTATTTTTCTTTCTCTTTCCCTACTCTCTCTTTGGCAAGTACTACAGGTTGAACTCAGGGCTTTTGCACTAAGCTTCATCTCAGCTCTCTCTCTCTTTTTTTTTTTTCAGAACCAGGGATTGAACTTAGACCCTTGCACTTGCCAGGCAAGTGCTTATTCTACTGAGCCATCTCCCCAGCCCCCAAAGTTTCTATCATATTTTCTTTCTTTGATTAATTTTTTTTTAAAGAGTAGCAAAAATTAAAAGGAAGCTCCTTTCTGAGAGGGACAGGAGGAGGCCTGGAAAGTGGGTTGTCCTTAATTTTTATGAGACAGAATCTTGATAATTTTCCCAGGCTGGACTCAAATCCCCAATTCTCCTGCCTCAGCCTCCCAGAGTTAGATTATAGGCATGAATCCCCATGCCTGATCCTTTTTGTTTTTGTTTTTTAGCTCAACGGGGGATTGAGCTCAGGCCCTTGCAATTGCCAGGGAAGTGCTTATTCCACTGAGCCATCTCCCCAACCCTGGGCTAATTGCTTCTTGAATGTATTTCTGCTTCCTGACTCAACACCCTCTGTCCAGAGCACTGAAGGAGTGACTTTCAAACATCTTCTCCCAAGCCCTCACGTCTCACCCCCAAGAAAGACGTATCATCATTTCCCCAGACTTGGGTCTTAGCATATCTGACTTGGAGACCCTGAGCCAGCAGTGGGACACGGGTGTGTGTGTGGCCTTAAACTCACTTTGCTTTTGTTTTTTGGTGGAACTGGGGATTGAACTCAGGTCCTTGTGTTTGCCAGGCAAGTGCTTATTCTACTGAGCCATCTCCCCAGCCCCCTTAAACTCACTTTGTGGCCCGGGCTGGTACAAAGATCCTCCTGCCTCAGCCTCCCTGGTGCTGGCATTACAGATCTGGCTTTTTTTGGGGGGGGTTGTTTTGTTAGTGGAACTGGGGATTGAACTCAGGCCCTTGCGCTTGCCAGGAAAGCACTTATTCTACTGAGCCATCTCCTGAAGAAAGCACCGAACAAATGTGAAATCAACAGTGGTGATGACAGAGGGGAAACAGATACAACTGGGTGTGGTAGCGCAAGCCTATAATCCCAGAACTAGGAGGCTGAGGCAGGAAGATCCCTGCAAATTATTCAAGGTCAGCTTGGGCTAAGCAGTGAGATCCTATTCCAATGCCCCACCCCCCACCCCCCCAAAAAAAACTGGCCGAAAGGTTTTAAGAGACAAAACAGTCACATGCTCTGGAATACTCTCCATGGATTACTTGTGAATCACAGAACAGACAGCTTGCTCGGGACATCTGGTCGACCTCTGTTAATTCTGAGCACCCACAGTTTACGCCTCTAGGAGGAATGAGACACACCCATACTGTATGTGGTTCTTTTTTTGTTTGTTTTTTGAGATAGGGTTTCACTGTGTAGTCCAGGCTGACCTTGAGGCCACAGGGATTCTCCTGCCTCAGTCTCCCAGATACTGGGATTACAGAGCTTTCAGTCCCTGCCCAGTTTGAACCAGAATCTGACCTTGAGAATATAATCAGGTCTGGGGGAATTTGAAACTACTGGAGTGAGCGTGTTTAGTGGGGAACACTGGACTAGCACGCAGGAGACCTTGGCTTCGATCCCCAGCACCACACAACAAAAGAGATATGGGGGGAGCCAGCCTGACACAGTAGCGTAGACCTCTCATTCCAGCACTCTGGGAGGCTGAGGCAGGAGGAGCCCAAGTTCCTGCCCAGCCTGGGGAACTCAGTGGCTTAGTGAGATCCAATCTCAAACAGTAAAATAGAAGGGGCCAGGGACATGGCTCAGTAGAATAAGCACTTGCCTGACAAGTGCAAGGGTTTGACTTCAATCCCCCGATCTGCCAAAAAGAAAAAAGTAAAATGGAGCCAGACTGGTGGTGCATGCCTATAATCCTGGGACTCGGGAGGCTGAAGCAAGAGGATCATGGTGAGTTTGATGCCAGCCTGGGCTACAAAGTGAGCAGCTGACCTTCATAGTGAGCCCCTGTTTCAAAAAAAAAAAAAAGAAGATAGGGTTGGGGAGATAGTTCAGTGGTACAAGCACCTGCCTGGCAAGTACAAGGTTCTGAGTTTGATTCCTGGTACAAATAAAATAAAGGACAGTAAATAAATAGATAGATAAATAAAATGGGTTGGGGATAGAGCTCAGTAGAAAGACAGTAGGTTGTGCCCCCAGTGCCACAAATAATAAAAATACAATAATAAAAGGCATAAACTGTGCTGCTCATGCCCCCAGGGCCCATGGAGGTGTCACCTGTGAGACACAGACTCCTTGTGGAGTAAGACAAAGCCTTTACTCTCCAGGACTTTGCTCGCCTTCTCCTCCGGACGGTCCGGGCTCAGGGCTCAGGACCCCGGAGTCCGCGGGGCTGCGGGTGATGTGGATGGGCAGCCGGGCCTTGACGCTGCTCAGCGACCAGGGCAGGGGCACGGTGACCACCAGCTCGTAGCACGTGTGCATGAGCTCCTGCTGCAGGCCGCTGCCGCTCACGGCCAGCAGCAGCGGGAGGCTGAAGGCGCTGACGACCTTGGTGGTGGTGAAGGCCGCGATGTGCGTGCTGGCCTCCTGGCGCAGCAGCTGGCTGCTGTCGGTACGGCAGCGGCGCTCAGCTCTGGGCGTGAAGGCCTGGTACTGCACATGCGCGTGGAGCGCCGAGACCACCGACCTGATGCACTTGCCGGTCTGGTTGTGGATCTCCGTGGTGAACGTCACCTTGTCCCCCGGCGTGAAGGTGTTCTTGTCCATGTGCACTTGCAGGTCCACAGTGCCCTGGCTGCAGCAGTTGTAAGTGACCTTCTTGTGGACCTGCACCAGCACGGGCTTCTAGAGGGGGAAGAACGGGCCGGACTGTGTAGTTTAGCTGGCTTTGAACTCACTATCTAGTCCAGGCTGGCCTCAAACTGATGAAGATCCTCCTGCCTCCTCAGAGCTGGGGTTCCCCAGCCATGTACGGCCACGTCCAGCCTTGAACTTGGATTTTTTCCTGGAAGGCCAATGGTGTATCATATCCTTTTGTGGTTCTGGCCAACCACAGCGTTCAAATCTTATTTTATTTTATTTTTCAGTACTGGGGATTGAACTCGCAGGCTTTTTTTTTTTTTTTTTTTGGCTGAACAGGGGATTGAACTCAGACCCTTGCACTTGTCAGGGAAGTGCTTATTCCACTGAGCCATCTCCCAGGCCCTAAGCAGGCTTTTATTCTACTGAGCTATCTCCCCAGCTCCACAGCGTTCCCTTGATGCTCCCAGCACTGAGCAGGGCACTGTCACTATGCTAGAATGCTCAGTAGGCTAGGGGTGGGTATTAAATGTATTTTGGCTTTAATGATATTTTCAACTTATGATGGGTTTATCAAAACAGGACTGTAGGGGCTGGGGAGATGGCTCAGTAGAATAAGCCCTTGCCTGGCAAGCACAAGGGTCTGAGTTCCATCCCTGGTTCTGCCAAAAAACAAAACAAAAACAAACAAACAAACAAACAAAAACAGAGCTGGGGGCTGGTGAGATGGCTCAGTGGTCTAAAGCACCTACTTAGAACAAGCTCAACAAAGCACAGGGACAGTGGTTCAATCCCCAGCACCACATGCCAGTCAGCCCCGCCCCCTGGTGGGCTGAGCTGGCCACACACACACACACACACACACACAAATAAATAAATAAATAAAATTAAAAAAAAAAAAACAAAAACAAAAACAAAAAACAGAGCTGTATTATAGAGGAAGAGGACCTTGTGCTTGCCAGGCAAGGACTTATTCCACTGAGCTATCTCCCCAGCCCCTATAGCTTCTTTTTTAGATTTTATTTTATTTTTAGATGGCAGGGATCAAACCCAGAGCTTCTCCCATTAGGCAAGGGCTCTACTACTGAGCTACACATTCAAGCCTTATTATTTTATGTTGGGGTGGGGTTACCCAGACTGGCCTAGACCTCACGAACTTCCTGCCTCAGGCTCCCAAGTAACTGGAATGACATACATACACTATTGTGCTTTCTTTTTTTTTTTTTTAAAAGTGTTTATTTGTTTCAGTTGCCCATTTTTTGATTTGGCCTTTCACTTGTGGGAGGCTGTAATATCTTGAGGTTTTTTTTTTTTATTATTATTTATTACATTTATTTATTGTGTGTGTGTGGCCAGCTCAGCCCACCAGGGGGCGGGGCTGGCTGGCATGTGGTGCTGGGGGATTGAACCGTGGTCCTTGTGCTTTGCCAAGCTTGTTTCAAGTAGGTGCTTTAGACCACTGAGCCATCTCTCCAGCCCTGTGCTTTCTTTTTGAAACCAGGTCTCACTATGCAGTTCAGGCTGATCTTGAGCTCTTTGTAGCCCAGGCTGGTCTTTTGGTGGAACCAGGGATTGAACTCAGGCCCTTGCGCTTGCCAGGCAGGCGCTTATTCTACTGAGCCATCTCCCCAGTCCTGTCAGGCTGGTCTTGAACTCAAAGTGATCCTCCTGCCTCAGCCTCTGACAGTGCTGGGATTACGGGTTT